AAATTTTTTTGCCCCAAATCCTCTTTTTTTTCCCCAAAAAATTGAGTTTAAAGTGGAGCAAAGTGGGCGTGGCCCCGCCCTCCTTAAGCTCCGCCCCTTTTACCTTTGACCACGCCCCCAACCCCCATTTTCCACCCTAAAATTCTCTTTTTTTCCCCCTTAAAATCCTCATTTTTTCCCCCTTAAAATCCTCATTTTTCCTCCTAAAATCTGGATTTTTCCTTTAAAATCCTCATTTTTTTTCTCCTAAAATCTTAATTTTTTTCCCTTAAAATGCTGGTTTTTTTCTCCTAAAATCCTCATTTTTTTTTCTTTAAAATCCTCATTTTTTTTTCTTTTGAAATTCTCATTTTTTGTCCTAAAATCCTCATTTTTCCCTTAAAATACTGGTCTTTCCTTCTAAAATTCTCATTTTTTCCCTTAAAATCCTCATTTTTCGTTCTAAAATCCCATTTTTTTACTTTAAAATCGTCATTTTTCCTCCTAAAATCCTCATTTTTTCACTTAAAATCCTCTTTTTTTTCCCTGAGAATCCTCATTTTTTTTCCTAAAATCCTCATTTTTTTCCTTGGAATCCTGTTTTTTCCTCGTAAAAATTCTCATTTTTTCACTTAAAATCCTCATTTTTTTTCTTACAAAATCCCAGGTTTTTTTCTTTCAAAACTCTGAATTTTTTTCCCCCTAAAATGGGGTTTGGGGTGGGTGTGGCTTTGCTGACCCCGCCCCCTTTTAAGCACCGCCCCTTTAACCCCAGACCACGCCCCCAAATCCCCATTTCCCATTCAAAAATTTCCATTTTTCCTCCGAAAATTCTCATTTTTCTCTGTAAAATCCCAGTTTTTTTCTCTTTCCAAGTGCTGTTTTTTTCCTTTCAAAATCCCAATTTTTTTCCCTCAAAATTGTGATTTCCCCCCCCCCAAAATCCCATTTCTCCCCCCCTAAAAATCCCAATTTTTTCCCTCAAAACCCCAATTTTCCTCCTCAAATCCTCATTTCCCTCCCTAAAATCCCAATTTTTCCCCCAAAATCCCAATTTTCCTCCTAAAATTCTTTTCTTTTCCCTTAAAATCCTCATTTTTTTCCTATTAAAATCCCGTTTTTTCCTCCTACACTCCTCACTTTTTTCCTTTAAAATCCTCATTTTTCCCCCTGAAACCCCGGGGGTTTTTTGTCCCAAATCCCGGGTTTTTTTTGCCCCGGAGCTGTCCCCGAGCTGTCCCCAAGGTGTCCCTGCCATCCCCGAGCTGTCCCCAAGGTGTCCTCAAGGTGTCCCCAAGGTGTCTCTGCCATCCCCGAGCTGTCCCCAAGGTGTCCCTGCCATCCCCGAGGTGTCCCCGAGGTGTCCCCGAGGTGTCCCCGAGCCGTCCCCAAGGTGTCCCCGAGCTGTCCCTGCCATCCCCAAGGTGTCCCCGAGCTGTCCTTCCCATCCCCAAGCTGTCCCCAAGGTGTCCCAGCCATCCCCGAGCTGTCCCAGCCATCCCTGAGCTGTCCCTGAGCTGTCCCTGCCATCCCCGAGGTGTCCCCAAGGTGTCCCTGCTGTCCCCGAGGTGTCCCCGAGCCGTCCCCAAGGTGTCCCCGAGCTGTCCTTCCCATCCCCAAGCTGTCCCCAAGGTGTCCCAGCCATCCCTGAGCTGTCCCTGAGCTGTCCCTGCCATCCCCGAGGTGTCCCCAAGGTGTCCCTGAGCTGTCCCTGAGCTGTCCCTGCCATCCCCGAGGTGTCCCCCTGCCATCCCCGAGCTGTCCCCGAGCTGTCCCCAAGGTGTCCCCGAGCTGTCCCCAAGGTGTCCCTGCCATCCCCGAGCTGTCCCAGCTGTCCTCAAGGTGTCCCCGAGCTGTCCCCAAGGTGTCCCCGAGGTGTCCCCCTGCCATCCCCGAGCTGTCCCCGAGCTGTCCCTGCCATCCCCGAGCTGTCCCAGCTGTCCCCCTGCCATCCCCGAGCTGTCCCCAAGGTGTCCCCGAGCTGTCCCTGCCATCCCCGAGCTGTCCCCAAGGTGTCCCCGAGCTGTCCCCGAGCTGTCCCCGCTGTCCCCGCAGTTCTGGGAGGTGATCAGCGACGAGCACGGCATCGACCCCACGGGCACCTACCATGGGGACAGCGACCTGCAGCTGGACCGGATCAGCGTCTACTACAACGAGGCCACAGGTGGGGACACCTGGGCACACCTGGGCACACCTGGGGACACCTGGGGACACCTGGGGACACTTGGGGACAGCTGTCACCCCCCCCGGGGCTCCTCTGTGCTTCCCCTCTTTCGTTGTGTCACTCGTTGTTGTTGGTGGCTTTTGTCGCCTTCCCGCTGTCGCGTCTCTGTTGTGGCTTTGTCACTTT